ACATCACATGCAAGGGGTCTATTGAGCTGCTTTGACTTCACATGCAAGGGGTCTATTGAGCTGCTTTGACTTCACATGCAAGGGGTCTATAGACCCCTTGCAGCACGTTGGAATACAGCTTAATTTAAAAGACAATAGCTTTCTCATTCTTATGAGATTCTGAAATTCTTTTGTTTTGTCCTCCAAAATTGAGCTGCTTTGACATAACACTCAAGGGATCTAAGAATGTAAGCAGGGCTTACCTGGATCATTTCTGATATCATATCAACATTTTTCATTGCAGTTAACCAGAATTCTGGAATGCCTTTTGTGTCTTCTAAAATACAGAAAGGAAAAAATAAGAAGTTTCAGGTTTGAATGGAAATGTCAGGTGACATAGCGAACTGGGTGCAATAGACTGTTTTCTCAAGGTTGCGTGCGCATCCAGATTTAAGGAACTTGACGGGCCAAGATACCAGAACATGAGTATTATCATGCATTGCTATTAACTTTTTTCGATAAGAATTCATAAAATCGATTATTCTCCTCTTTAAATATAAAACTGTCTTCTGAATTTTACTGAATTTGGGTTTTTCAGTTTTGTGGCCCGTCAAGTTGGATGCGCACGCAACCTTGAGAAAACAGTCTCAGCTTGTGTTCATAAGGGGACGGCATGGTTCATTTTAATTGGCATCTTAATTGAATGTGTTTATTCCCCAAATATATATAATAATAGATATCTTTTTAATAATATATGGYTTTAAGTAAAAATAGCCAGGTGATTATAGAAAATCTTGTGCGCTGATTGGTCAAGAAACTCACACTATCGCATGATAACCACCTCGAGCGAAAATCCAAAATGGTGGCCAGCCGCTTTGTTGCTGTTGCCGGAAAAAATGCCTTTTATCTTCTTTTTTTCTTCTTTTTTTGAAAGAATCACCTGTATATTTATACTAAAACAATTATTTGTCTCAGGCTCAGTGATTATTGGGGAATATTTACCTGGCTGCTCAAAGACTCACATCTCGGTAAATATTCCCCAACAATCACTTTGCCTTTGGTGAATAATTGTTAAATAATAATATATGGCTTTTGGTGGCTTGATACTATATGCGAGTACTATTACCTGTTAATTCTTCAGTTTCCACTTTCTCTTCATCGTCTACTTTCACTTTATCCTTCACTTCAGTCTAATAACCGGTAAAATAATAAGAATTTAAAGGTAAGTACAGCGTAATTTGCAAGGGAGGGGTGGGTGGGAAGGACGGCAAAGCATAGACTGCACTGCATTATGTTTATCAGAATAGTTATCTAATAGGCCATTTGCATGATGGCATCATTTTACTAACACTACCAAAATGCTTGGTGAAATTTTTTTTCTTATTCAAATTTCTATTCCCTTAGGAGAACAGGTGCGATAACATGAAGCAGTTTTCTCTGCAACTTGTCTCACAACCAGGGTTCGTGCCGAGGTAACCACTTAAGAGTCAATGTCTGTAACGGTCGAGAACCATCGGACAGTTGA